TTCAAAGTTTTGAACAATTTGAGCTTCGTGACTCTAGTATAGACGTATGGGCCTAATGATTTAATTGTGTTACATGCCACTGCATGGAAATCACCAAAATGAGCTTTTTTAAAAGTCTCGCGTGAGGCTCCAAGCCAATAACCCAAGCTAGTTTTTATATATAACATGTACCCATGCTATGCCATTCCGTGGATGAAATATAAACAAATTCACGATTATCGCACATAGTAAATTTCCCCTTCAAATCCAGTGACAAAATGCAATTGTAAAATTTGACTAAAAATAGCCAATTTCAACAACGTCTGTAAGGCCAGCTAAAGCCTCCTGGGCCATTCCATATTGATAAAATTGTTCTTTGATACTTGAATTATAGTCATTATACCATCAAAACTATCTACGGGCAGTTTTGAATCCGTCGCGAAGTGATGAAACTGACCATGGCAGCGGCTTTGTCTGCGGCTAATTATAGCTTCCTGGAGACAAATTCTTGATTTCTGATATTTGTACGTGTATCGACCAAATATTGAAAATGTAACCCAAACACCATTTATAACTAGGTATTACCTTAATTTGAGCAAAATATGAACGAAATCTATTTTTCGTGTATTGCCGCAGAATTCAAATTTTGTTCGATTTTTACGGACAGTCGCTCTTAATGTTAATTCAGAGACGACAACTTATATATGCGACTTTCATCGTGAACAAGCCTGGGAGCGATGGCTTAAGAAAGGTGATAATAGCTTAACGCACAAGAGAGATGACGTTCTAAAACTGCTGCAAACTGTTGCAAAGTCAAATACAGAAGATGATTAGCACAAAAATCTCTCAGTCCTTCAGCAGAGTGAAGTATGGTTGACGCACTTAAAATTTCAAAAGTGGTTTATGAATACATGGCTGGAAGAAGCTAAGGCAAGCTAATTATTAAACGTTTTGAAATGTCAATATTAATTTGTTTAAGAATGTGATTGTCCCACAAACTTACAAGTATTACAGACAAAATTGCAAGTACAATTGATCTTAGAAGTCCTTACGTCATGTCACTGTCAAACGATGCATATTTGACCTAAAAATTTGTTTACTGTGATTTTCACAGTGGATAATAAAAAGAAAGTGTTTTCCATGTTGTTACGATTATGGAATGATATGGTAATCCATCATCGAGATTTGTACTATTTTCTGAGTTACTAGTGAGACCAGTATTGTTTCTATTCAATTGGCCAGATAAACAGCAGGTCAAAATCAAATTCAACAACAGTGAAGGAAATAAAAACGGAACTGTTCCGTAATCAACTATAGTCTATACATATTTTATAACAATTTATTAGTTTGGTAACAAGCTGCAGTATTGTAGAAATTTAGACAAAGGGAGAAATTCGGAGTTAAAATTCTACCCAATGGAAAGAATGTTACCTGTACTGCATGTATAACCTCAAAAGTGCAATTAAAAGCACATCCATCTTAATAGTGCAATAGTGAATAAATTAACTTGACGATAGAGTGATGTAACAAATGTGGTATGGCAAATACATTTTTAGCCAATCTGAGACAACCGATTTTCAAAATTTTCTGCGCACTGTGCTCCTAGATCCACCTAGTAGCACACCATGCTCCCAGATCCACCTAGTAGTACCATTTTTTGGCATCTGTAAATTTATCTTAGGATCAGTCCTCTGATGTATGTTATCTAAATTAGTTTTATGTTATATACCTTAAATGTAGTGTGACATTAAGTTTGACAACTTCTTAGTGTTACACAGTACAGCGTCCGAGGGAAATATTGTTTCCTCCCCTATCTACAGTATTGCCGTAATTTCGTCTAGTGACAGGACAAAAGTCTTTCATTGCAAAAATGTTATTTTTCAGAGATGGGTTTGGGCATACCGACAGGATTAATATGGATTTTTGGTCAGCATTAATACGAATAATGGTGTCGAGAGAATGAACGAATCTTTCAAATACCAGTACTTGATGGCTCGAAATAAGTACAGCCTTAGTGGTATGATAGGTGTTGTCGTTGAAGAATTCTTACCTGACAAATACGAAAGGTAAGATGCCTTGTTGCTGTTTGACAGTGCATGTTAGTTCACATATTATTTATTATTTACTGTAATTAGTTCATTAATCGACAGCACAGCCAAGTAGGAAAACTAAGCTTAAAAGACGTTTCCACGAGACACGCCATATTCTGCCATCGCATTATTGCGCATGACAGGATTAATAAACAGGAGTGAGGAGTCGTAGAAATTTAACAATTAATTTGTTTCGTTAAAACTTCAGGTCAGTTACTTTATGATGTAAAATGTGAAAACACCGTGACCGAGTGTCACGCCCACGAGAGTCAATCCTTCACATTTTATGTCATTGATTGCAAATTGCTAGTGTTTGTTGCTTGCCCCCCCCCCCTTGCAATTTAATGTAACACCTGTTTCTTATAATCTTATAAGGTATATAGAGCTCAACACAAAAAATAGCGGAGGATACCAGCGGTACAATATACATATATGCCGCAATATTTGCATAACAAACCAAGACCGTTCATTAACCATTGTATGGCTCGCATATCATCGGCTGCTGATTTCCCTGCATTGAGACGGTCGCGGAGGGTTCTGGTAATTTTAAATGCAAATCACAATCCGAAAGTAACCTTTTGTACAACCTAAGCTTTGGTGATGCAAAAAACATGCCAAGATGCTCCTGTCCAGATTTTAGTCGCAATGGTTTACCATGTCGGCACTTTTTTGCAGTTTTCAATTGCTACCCAAATGCAATGGACTTCATTACCAGGTCAATATACAGAACATCCCAACATCTCTCTTGACGGAAATTCAATCTCAACCCACACAATTAACAGAAACGTCTTAAATGACATTTCTAACGTGGAAACGAACTTAGAGCATGATATTTTGGAAAAAGGGCAAAAGCTCCAAAATATTTTGTTCCAAGACAGAAGGATACTCAAAAGGAAGCAAAAACGTGCAGGGAAATTTTGAAATGACTAACTGACATGACGTATAACATAGAGAATGCAACTGCCTTATCTGAGACAAGAAATACTTTGAAACTGTTGCTAGATAACTTGTCAAAACACCAAACCTTTGATGATGAGAAGGAAAACAACCTGTGTTACAATGTTCAGGTCAAACCTCCAGTAGACACCAAATTAAATGCTCAAAGCAAGACGACGACATACCTGCCCTTACCATTAAAGCCAAAGAAGAAGACATACTCCAGCAGAGTTGGCCAATTTGCATCTATGATGCAAAAACACTATTGAGTGGATGTTGCCCTCCATGCTGAGAATGAAAACAGCAGTGGAAAAACAAAGAAACCTAAGTCGGATGTTTGTAAAAAGAGGAAGAAGATGCAAGAACACAAACGGAAAGATACTAGTTCAAAAAAAGGAAATTGGTCAAAACTACTGCATGTAGTCTCAGGGGTAAGACATCATTCAAATCCCCCACGCCATCAGACAATGCAGAGTTTGTGATATCAAGCTTGCCAGGTGACGACATACCCAAATTAAATCAAAGTGATATTTCGTCTCCAGATACGAACAGAAAGGCTTTTGATGAGAACTTATCACATGAAGGGGAAGTTATGTCAAAGGCAACTTTGGATGACGAAGTTATAATAACATCTGTGACAACTAGCACGGGTCAAATAACCAAAAGATTAAAGAGAATAATTGATCAAGAAGAGTTATCAGTTATTTCCAATTATAAAATGCTGACAGATATGTCAATCAATTGTGCACAGAACATCCTTCATGAAACAGTTCCATCCATAGCAGGTCTAGACGAAACTACAATTGGTTTAAAACTTCTTTTTACTGCTCAAAAGCAAGAATTTGTGCAGATTCTTCATGATGGTTGTAACCACTGGGTATGTGTTTCCAATATCGGATGCAAAAAGGGCGAGATAAATTATTATGACAGCCTGTACCATTGGAAAAATTAACCCCCATGTGCAAAAGCAGATTGCAAGCCTGCTTCATGAAGAGTTAGATCACATAAAGATACACATCAAGGCATCACAACAGCAAAGTAATGGAGTTGACTGTGGTGTTTTTGCCATATCATGTGCAACTAACCTGCTCTATGGAAAGGATCCATCCAAAGTAAATATAAAAGAATCGCTAATGCGAGGTCATTTAGTAAACTGTCTAGTCAGCAATGTGCTTTCTCCATTCCTACAAGAGGATGAGAAAACTGTCTCCCGATGCCATGAATACACCATGATTGTTTGGCTGTACTGCTTTTGTCGCCTTCTATGGTTCGAAGAAGACAAAACAGTGCAAAGTCTAAGGGTGACTCAGTGTGATAAATGTGATGAATGGTTCCACCAAGGATGTGCCAAAACCAAGGAAGATATTTTCATGAGGAAAAACCAGTGCTGGATATGCACAAAGTGTCTTCCTGGACATTGGACATACTGTATATATGTTACAACTGTTACAGGTTTGTCAGGATAATGGAGCTTGTTCATACAGATCAAATTTGAATACCAAGCCAATTTCTTTCTTTGTTTTAATACACACCAAGAAACATGCACAGGAATCAGTTCAAACCAGTTTAATGTTTATATAGAGATGCATATGACGTATGTTAGTTTTAATTGCATGATGGTATATAACAAGTACTTTTGAAGAACAAGGATTTTTTTTGAAGAAGTCAGTTAAAAATGACATAATTCGATGACATTGTTAATACTGTTTACAAGTAATGATAAAATATTAAATAATTATATATCATAGACAGATTTTCTGATGGTGTGTGCGAGGGCGGGGGGGGG